CAGATATGATCACTCCTACATGCATAAATTGGGGATGAAAACATAAAGATATCCAGAAGACTTTCATCATGACAAAACTCTATGGGAATAAAAAAAACTCTTGAGAAAGATTCTCTTCCTCCTTCTCTTCCTCTTTTTCATTTTCTCTCTCTCCCTCTTCTTTCCCCTTCCTTTCCCTCTCCCTCTCTCTCCCCTTCTCCTTCTCCTTCTCCTTTTTCTTCTTTCAGGTAGGAGTCCAAAGCATTTAGCATTGTCACTGGGCATATAGTGGATATTTACAGAAATGTGTATGCACAATCTACTGTTTAAGAATGAGTTTTTGAGTCTGTTTTGAGTCTTCTTCAAGCCCCGTGCAATTCATCACCCTAATCTTAAATAGCTTTTTTTTTTTTTTAATGTGGGGAAGTGTTTGAATGTTGGGTAAACATTAAGCATATGTGCACTGAGTTCAAGCACTGTGACAGACGCACCTATTATACCATTCTGTACAAGAACGGAAGAGTAAATGATGAGAATTCATGAAGCATGATGTTCTGCATGCAGCAGACAGAGAACCTAGGCAAGCTGAAAGAGTGGGTGGTAGGAGCAGAAAAGCCAGATTAAGGCTACCGTAATACCTAAAGTATGATAAGCTATGTGAACAGAATCAGTGGAAGTCAGCTTGAATAAGCAAAGGAAGACTTAAATCAGATTTAGATGGCAGAAATAACAAACTTTCTGCCTGACAAGATAAGGGTCAGTCAATGGAAAAGGGTACTTTAGTATAATTTCATGATGAAGAGAAGTTTGTGGAAAGCAGAGCTGGGTTTGAGAACACTGAATTTAGGGCTTGAGGGATACACAAATAGATCCATCTAATCAGAAATGACTTTGTACTAGTAACTAGCAATGGTGGGGCTGCAGGGTGGATTCTTCCACTTGCCTTCTTCTCCCATCATCTTTTCAAGTTATGCTTTCTTAGGTCAACCACGTTGCTGGAAAGAGATATAAATTCTTCCTCTCCAGCCCCAGACTGTGGTGTCATCTTCAGCAGTTAAACATGTTGTTAAGATCAGCTTAAAAAATAGTGGCTGTGGTCCTGTCCCCAGTTTTTAGAAGGCTACCCTGGTTTAAGGGGATTGTTCCAGAGTAATTATTAACAGCACCCTTTTTCTCTCTAAAAAAATGTCCTGGATTCATCACCTTTGCCATTACTGTCTTCATCATCATTATCATCATCTTAGTCATACTGATAATTTTTGCTTTGCATGATCTCTAACAGCTTTAAATAATGTTTGCTGCATTATCTGTTTCGACCCTCACAACACCTCCATGGGCAGGTGGGGACGGTTGTCCTCATTTTTCAATAAGGCCACTGATATTTCAGTAGTGCACAGTGGCACAGCTTTTTGGTAAGGCAGCAGGTGTGAATTAGTGTGTTTTTTGTATAAAATTGTGAGCTTTTTTCACTATACATTAATTTATTGACTTTACACTGTCATAGCCTTTTGACTAGGTGATCTCATGGGGTAAAAATCAGAACACTTGAGACCAGTGGGAGGTTATAGATGATGCAAGGCGTATTTTAACAGGAACATTTTAAGAGACACACCCTTGGTTCATGAATTCACATTTCTATGCCAGATGTTTCCTCTTGCCTACCAAGCTCTTTTCCTCCTTGTTGGCTTGAGGCTGAAGTCAGCAACTTTGCTTCACCTCCTCTGGCTGGGCAGGGTAATAGGAAATTTTTTTTTAAATGTGTCCTTAGGAGGCATCATATTTAAAAGGAAATCTTTTAAAAGGGAACACGTTTTCTAGCAAAGAAACAAACTTTGACCTGGCACTGAAAACTATTACCGCACATGTGAATATTTCCTTTTTAGTTTGTAGAACGTACCTACCAGCTTTCCCTCATTTAATTTTCACCAACTAAAATAGGGGTTAGTACAGCAGTATGAGGGAACTGGTGCTTTCCTGAGTCTTTCAGATACTGAAATGCACATTTCCCCGTTACAATACCAGACTCTCTAAGATGAAATGATGTTCTCCAAGGTGCACGTAATGGTTTTTTTAAAGGGGAAGTACATCTTGCTTGACCTGGAGAAGTCTGAGTTTCATTCTAGGTTAAAGTAAGAACTCTGAGATCCACACTCACCTCTGAAGAACAAAAAGTTAGTTGACCTTGAACAAAATATTTCCTCTCACTGAGTCTCAGTTTCTCATCTAGGACTCAGCCATAATTACCTGAAAAGGACCAGATTGTAGGCGTGTTGTTTGCTGGACATACCTTCTTGGTTACAGAAGGATACCCAGCTCAGCCATTGTAACTCAAAAGCACCAACAGGCCAACATATAAGTGAATGAAGGTGGCCATAATCTAGGGAAACTTTATTTATGAAAACAGATGGCAGGCTGGGTTTGGTCTTTAGACCATGGTTTGCTGTTTTCCGACCCCCTTTAAGGGGAAAATATTTATCACACAAAGTCATTCTAAGAATTTTATTGACTAATATATGTAAATCAAGATATATGAAGAGCCTGATATATGAAGAGTCTGATGTTAAAAATGGCAACGAATTTCTTAGCTTTTCTCTCAACGTTTTCCTCCCAACTTACCCCAGTTCTCCTGGAATGAGCATTGAGATCAATACTAAATGGAATGTATTGGGTGACATTTCATACCTGTAGCAAGTCTTCCTTTGTTTCCTTGTTATTTTCATACTTTGGGAGGCAAAGGTAGAGAACTGAGAGTATAAAGTTTTTAAAGTATGATGCTTATGAAGAAATTTGAACTCTAGTCAATGTGTGTGTGTGTGTGTGTGCTTGTGTGTTTAAAATGTATTTCTCTTAAAATGGAACTTAAGAACAGCCCTTTCAGCGAAATTCACAACATATGTATAAAGAAGCCTGTGGTTTAGGCCAAAGGTCCAGTTAACAGCTGTGGGTCTTTGTTTAAATGACAATAATAATGAGAAATTCGCCTCACAGGCATTTATTATTTTAAGCTTGACCTTCTGTGCTTGCATTTCATGTCTGTCCCTGCCGGCCTCCATGAGCGAGTCACTAGAACAGCCCCTTCACTTTCCTCAATCAGTGTATTGTCTTCAGAGCTTGCCCTCTTGACTTCAGTTTTTCAAATGCTTTCTTTTCAAATTATCTTACGCATCTCATTTTTTCCCACAAGTATCTTTAGAGTATTAATGCAAAAGACAAATTACTCAGAAGCACTAAAATGTAGTAGATTGAAGTTAAAACACACTGAGTTTGCAGTCGACTGGGTACCAAGTCCAGGTCTGACTGCATTACTGATTCCCTACGTGTCCTTAAATGAAACGCTTGCCCAGGATGAGTCTTAGACTTCTCAACTATGAAATTGAGATAGAAGTTGTTATTCTTCCTGCCACCCTACATTTCCTGTGTGAATAAAATGAACACTAGCTATGAACACAAAACACTATTAAATTTCTGGGTTTTTTTCCTGATTATAATTATTGCTAAAATCACCAAAATAGCTATAATTTAAATATTACTTAGTATGGACCAGGAAGCATATGAATCATTGTGCATAAATTAACTTAGCTAAAATTCACAACTAATGTTAAATAAATATTTATTTAACAACTTAATTAAATAAGTTGTTATTAGTTTATTTAACTAATGTTAAATAAATATTTATTTAACAACTTAATTAAATAAATAAATATTTATTTAATACTAGTTGTGAATTTTAGCCGTGTTAAATATCAAGTAAATATTTTTCTTCCGATCTTAGGAAAAATCTAAGAAGCCTAATGGTGAAGAGACATTTCCAAGTCTCATTGTAAGTAAATAAACTGGGGTTAAAACTGTGAAATATTACACTCCAATTCTTGATCTTAATCAAATGGAACTTAAAATGAATATAAAACTTCACATTTTTAATGACCTCATACAATATTTTAAAGTTTAAATTTAAAAATAATTATGTAAAAGATATGTTTCCTTCCGAACGTTTTTATTCTAAAAAATTAAATAAGCATTAACACATTATTTACACAGAAATATTTTTTCTTAAGCAATCTTTTAAATTTTATTGTTAGTTTTTATTTTCTTATCTTTCTTTGAGAAATGGCTACTCAGGTATTTTGTCCTTTTTAAAATCAGGTTATTTGCTTTTTTACTATTGAGTTTCTCATTTATTTTGTATACTAGCCTTAAATTAAACGTATGGCTTACAGATATTTTCCCCCATTCAGAAGGCTGCCTCTTCACTCTGTTAACTGTTTACTTTGTTGTGTAGATGGCTCTGAGTTTTAAGTACCTCACTCATTCCTTTTGTTTTTGTTGTCTGAACTTCAGGGGTCAATTCTAACAAATCATTGCTGACCAATATTGTATAGCATTTCCCCTGTTTTCTTCTACTCGTTTTACAGTTTTATATGTTATGTTTATGTCTTCGTTCATTTTCAGTTGAATTTTATATATGGTATCAGGAAAAGTTCAGTTTTATCCTCTATGTAAATATCTAATTTTCCCAACATCCTCTTTTGAAGAGATTGTGTTTTTCTCATTGTGTACTGTTGGGTCAAAAATCAATTGGCCATAAGCATATGGGTTCATTTTTGAGCTCTCTCGTCTGTTCCATTGGTCAATGTGTTTATTTGCATGAAGTATCCTTCTTAATCGCTTTACCTGCAGTCAGCATATGTCCTTGAAGATGAGGTGAGTTTCTTGTAGACAGCATATATTTGAGTGTTTGCTCTTGTTTATTTTTATTTATTTATCTATTTGGCTACCCTGTTTCTTTTTTATTAAAGAATTTATTCCATTTACTTTCAAATACATAGAGAATGACTTATCATCGTCATTTAGAGATTAGTTTTCTGGTTACTTTGTATACATGTAATGTCCTTATTGCTCTATAGTTGTATTCCTTTGTGGTTTGATAGGTCTCTGCAGTGATATGCTTTGAATAACCCTATTTATGGTTTTATTTTTTAATTTTTATTTATTTATTTATTTTCAGGCGATGCTTTTTTTTTAAATATATGGAATGCTTCACAAATTTGTGGGCCATCCATGTGCAGGGACCATGCTAATCTTCTCTGTATCTTTCCAGTTTTAGTATATGTGGTGCCAAAGTGAGCACACTTATGTTTTTAATATTTATTATGTATTTTTATTTTTGGTTACCTTAATATTTACATAAAACATGTAGCAGGCTATTTCAAGCTGATAGTAAGTTAACTTTGATCTCATATAACAGTGCACTTTAATTCTTTCCCATATTTTATGTTTTAATGGCAAAATTTATACTATTTTATAATTTTCATTCCCCGGCAATTAATCTTAGCTAAAGTTCTTGTAATAGATTTATCCATTAACCATCACAGTAGAGATGAAATTGCGTTGCACACTTCCATTTTCAGTGCAGAGTGTCTTGAATATGACTCTGTATTCCTTATGCCATTGAGTGTTTCACTTTCATATGTCTTATGTTATGAATGAGTGCCTTTGCATAGTTTGAATAACTCCCTTTAGTAATTTCTGTAAGGTAGGCCTAGCGTTGATGAACTCCCTTAGCTTTTGTTCATCTGAAAATGTTCTTTTTTCTCCCTCATTTATGGAGGACAGCTTAGCTGAATAATTTATTTTTGCATGGCATTTTTTTCCTTTAGGATGTGATAGAATATATCACCCCACTTTTTTCTGTCCTCCAGGGTTTCTGTTAATAAATCTGTAGTCTTATTGAGACTCTTTTTTATGTGACGTTTTTAAACTTTTTCAGCTTTCAGAATTTTTTTGTCCCTGGTTTTTGTATTGATTATTATGTGCCTTAGTAAACTCCTCTTTTGATTAAAAACCTCTTTGCTTCCTGTACTTGTATGTTGGCATCAGATTTGGGACGTTTTTAGCTATCATTTCTTTAAATATTCCCTTTTGCCTTTTTCTTACTTTTCTTCTTCTGGAATTTCTATTATATGAAAATTAGGTCTATTGTTGATGTTCTATAATCCCCATAGACTTTCCTTATTCTTTTTCATTCTTTTGTTCCTCTGGCTGGATAATTTCAAATGTTCTGTGTTTGAGCTCACAGATTGAGTCTGTTGTTGAAGTTTTTTATTGCATTTTTTTTTGGTTTACTCATTATATTCCATATCTCTAAGACTTCTATTTTGTTTTTCTTTTTTAGAGACAGAGTCTCACTCTCTTGCCCAGGCTGGAGTACAGTGGCACACTCTCAACTCACTGCAACTTCCACCTCCTGGGTTTAAGCCATTCTTGTGCCTCAGTCTCCTGAGGAGTTGGGGCTACAGGTGCATGCCACCACACCTGGCTAATTTTTGTATTTTTAGTAGCTATGAGGTTTTGCCATATTGGCCAGGCTGATTTCAAACTCCTGATGTCAAGTGATCTGCCTGCCTTGGCCTCCCAAAGTGCTGAGGTTACAGGCATAAAGCACTGTGCCTGGCCTCTTTTTTAAAAAATTTATACTTTTTGTTAAACTCATTATTTGTGTATATATATTAATTTTATATTTCCTTTATTTTATATTCACATGTTTTTATAGTTTACTAAATTCATTCAAGAGGATTAATTTTAAACTATTTGTGTGTTATTTCATAGGTCTCAGTTTTTTAGGGCTCAATGTTGGGACTTTGTTTTATAGGTGTCATGATTTCCTGGATGTTTGCAATTCTCGAATTCTGCACAATTAAGGAGATAGCCACCTCTTTCATATTCTCTTGGCAGAGATAGAGTTTACTATTTATTATAGGCTGTGATTCTAGGTGGGACTGATGGCTGGGCCTCCCTGTTAGGTGGATGACTGACTTAATTCTTCAATCAAGCAGAGCTGATGGCTGGGCATTGAGGTTGACTCTGATTGGGCCAAACCACAGGGCATGTTCCCTTGCCAGGTGGTATAATATTTGAGATCTGAAATTGGACAGAGCAGTAAGCTGGGCCCCAGGGGTATTTGGAGTTGCCTCTTTGGACAAATAAGACCAGCTGTCATGGTTGATAAAGATGCATGGTTGAGGTTTGCCTCCCTGCCTAGGTGGTGACTTGGGTTAAGCTTTGAGAATGACATGAGCACCATTTAAACTCTGGGTCTGGTAATGTCCCTGCTCTTTGCCAAATTGCACTTTGGTGAGCATCACCCTTTCTGGGCAGGGGCTTGGAGTGGGGTTTGTAGCTGGGGCTGTTGGCTGGGATTCAAGCCAGATTCTACAAATTATGGGAGCCACCAGCTCAGCTTTGCAGGCGGGCTATGCTGTTGGCTAATTACTCTGATTGAGCACCACCGCTGTCGAGTACACAGGGCCACCACAAAGACCTGTGTGCTGGCTCCCATGGACTCTACACCTTGCTTTGTTTCCACTTGGCCTCATGTATTCTGCTCATGCTGTTACCCCTTCTTTACCTATAGGGTGAGGCCAAAGTTGGCTTTCTGAGAAGTGTCTTTAAACATGAGAAAGACTAGATGTGGTTCTCTTTTCTCACTATAGAAACCATGTACCTTGGAGGATCCTGTCTTTTTGGCGCTATACCAACTACTATAGGAATTTTTTTCTATAGTAGTTGTGCAGTGGGGTGATCTGTGCTTGCTGCAACTCCACCTCCTGGGTGCAAGCAATTCTCCTGCCTCAGCTTCTCAAGTAGCTGGGATTACATGCAATTGCCACCACGTCCAGCTATTTTTTTAATTTTTATTTTTAGTAGAGACAAAGTTTCACTATGTTGACCATGCTGGTCTAAAACTAATGACCTCATGATCAACCCACCTCAGCCTCTCAAAGTTTTGGGATTACAAGTGTGAGCCACTACACCTGGCCTACAAAGAGGTATCTTTAAGAATCACCATAACACAATCCTGACAAATTGTAAATAAAACTTTATTAGAAATGATTAGGTCAAGCAGCAAAAATAATCATTAAGAATATAGAAAATATAAAGAATCAAGTGATAAAATCCAAAGGCTAAAGCTAAGATTGAAAAAGAGGGATGGAAGGATAAAGACAGATGTTGGGATAGAGAGAATGATATGATTTATGTGTTTGTCTCCTCCAAATTTTGTGTTGAAATGTGATCTTTAATATTGAACACGAGGCCTGGTGGGAGATGTTTGGGTCATGGGGGTGTGACTCCATCATGAATAGCTTACAGTCATCTGCTTGGTAATGAGTTAGTTCTCCTTCAGTTTGTTTACAGAAGATCTGATTGCTTAAAGGAGTCTGGGATCTTCCCCTTTTCCTTTCTCTCTTTAACTCCATGTCTCATGCTCACAATCCCATCTAGTGACTGCCTGCTCCTGCTTCACTTTGCACCATGAGTAAAAGCTCCCTGACACTTCGCTAGAAGCTGAGCAGGTGCTGGCACCATGGTCCCTGTACAGCCTTCAGAACTGTGAACCTACTGAACTTCTTTTATTTTTTTAAATTACTCAGTCTCAGTTGTTTCTTTATAGCAAAAAAAAAAAAAAAAGAAAAAAAAGAAAAAGAAAAAAAATGGACTAATGCACAAACAGAAAGAGGGAAAAAAGGGAGAAACTTGCACACACACAAGTAATTTTTTAGAAAACATTTGTAAATTTTGGTCACAAACTACATTATAAAATAAGTCTCATTTATTTTCTAAAAATTACAATTTTGTAATTAACATATTTGGAGCAAAGTTCAATTGAATTAGCAAAATTATGAACTATGTTCTTTTAAATGTTATAAGATAAAGAGAAAAGAGCAATTGAAATTACAAAATACATTCATCTGAATTCCAATTAAAAACACTATATGTCAAAATCTGAAATATGTAGTTAAATACTGTCAAAGAATGAGAGTATCCCTAAATGTTCTAAGCCATAAATGAAGAAGAAAAGCAGAATAAAAAGGAGAAGAAAAAGAAAAAGAAGAAGAGGAGGAGGAGGAAGAAAGGAGGAGGAAGAGGGGAGGAGAAGGGGAGGAGGAGGAAGAAAGTGTTGGAGGAACAAGAGGAGTTGGAGCAGATGGGGAAAGAAGAGGGGGCTGGGTTTCAGCTTTAAAGTCTCAAACAAACAGAAAAGACACGATGATATTGAAAAGAAGAAAATTGTGAAATAGGAGAAAAAAACATACATTAAATAGAAAATAAAACAACAAGGAGGGTTAAAAATCATAAAACTAACTCTGGACTAATTGCAAAATAGGTAACTTTTTTTTTGTCAAGACTAATCAAGTAAAACAGAAAAGGCACAAATAAATAGAGGAGAAAAGAAAGACTAAAATTTTAAAACATCAACAACTGTATTCCAGTTAAGTAAAATATCAAATTTAAAAAAAGCACAAATTGATTTTAAAAGAAATACATGAACTAAAAGAATTTTAGTAGTTAATACTAGGTTCTGACACTTCTATAAAATTACAAAAACTAGGTAATCTTTATCATGTAAAACTATTTTCGATCAACAGAAGCAGAAAAAAATTTCCAACTCATTTCAGTTTTTAAAACCAAAATAGAATAAGTCATGCATGACAACTGAAATTCTGGGCAAAATTCATTCATATATAGGAAAAAATATTAAAAATTTCTAAATGCACCAAGTATGGAGTGGCATTGATCACAAGAGCATATATATAGTCAAGATCATAAGCTGAATTAATTATGTCACAGTAGGTATTAAAGAAGAAGTCATTTTATAAGCGCAAATAACATATTAAGAAAATCTATTCTTTTTTTTGAAAATTCACACAACAAATTAATAGAAGAAAGATAAATTTTTAAACATAAAGAATATTATTTTACAAAAATCAAAACAAACATAGGCATGCTGCTGCTTACAAGCACTGTACTTTATTTCCAAGTCAAAAACAAAGACAAAAATTAAAAATGTACTATCACAAACATATTCATTTTATCAGACAACAAATACTGTTGTATTTCAATTGCTGTCTAATAAGATGAGTTTAAAATGTAAACTAGCTACATAGGAAAGAAAAAGAAACCAAGTTATCCTTATTTGTAGACAACCAGTTTATTTTATCCAAAGAGAGAGCCTCCTGAGTGGGCCTGGCTTAATCGAGCCCTAAAAGAGGTGCCTAGACCTTCCTCTGGAAAGTCTTTACCCACTGGTGGCTGTGAAAGAGTAAGATTTTCTGATACAGCGATCGTATC